TCTATAATCAGAAGATTGCAAAAGCTTTTGAGCTATTGTCCATTTGATTCAAGCATTATCCAATCCATTTTGCCAATAAGGGGAGAAATGTTACACTTCCATTCTAGTAAAGCAAGCCTTTTGAAAAATGTCAATGCATTGAGCCTCTAACTTGTTCCCTCTTCCCACACTAAAACTAGCAACTCATAATCAACATGTTTCAAGTGTTCAACTACTTTGGAACCTTTGGTACTATGCATTGGAACCATAATATTTACATTTCTTCACAACTATGTTTCAAAACCTTAAGCTTCAAACTCCTCAGTCTCAAACCCTATTATTTTCCTATAAATAGAGGTCAATTCTACATTTCAAAGGAGACCTTGAACACCCTCTTTAACTTTTCAAACACTCAATAACTCAGAATTGCAACATTGCAATCTTTCTCAAGGTTCAAAATTCATAATTCTTTCAAGTTCTTTGTGAACTAACCATCCACACACCTCAAACACACTATATATAAGCTATCTAAACACTCACAACACTTCTATAACAACTCTATCATCACTCCCCATTTTCACTTTGGCCATTTGCAAGTTAATTCCGGTAGGGAGGTTTAGAAAATTTCTAAGCAAGCTAAGTGTCCACTAAGCATAAACAAGGTCCCAATAAGGTGTTAGGATCATCATTTTACTTCTGGAAGTCGTGTAAAGGGCAATGGATTTTTTTTTCAAGAAGTAAGTTTCCTTGAACTGTGAAATCTTGATACATGCATTATTTACACATACATTATGAAGTAGAAATGTAGATATCATGTATGCGGAGCTATCCATATGCTTAGTTTTGATTTATATTGCTTGTGTGATGAGATTTGCAAAATTGAATCGTTAGGTTTTCATTTTAGTACTGGATGAAATTCGTGCTCATCTTTGATTGTTAGCTTCTTAAAATTATATCATAGAATTCCTTGTGAAATTTCATACTAGTTTGGTGTTTACAATTTTTGAGTTGGTTGAGAAACGAAGGAGTTACGGTTTTATCAATGGAGTTGTTATTGTTGGTGTCTCGGCAAAGAAGATGAAGCCATGGCGCCAGATTTTCTTTTTTTTTGTTGAAAATTTTAGTTTATGTTATATTGAATGATTGGTGTTTGATAAGCGAATGAAACAGCCACCCTAGTGGCAAGAGCGCGTGCCTGTTACTATAGGGACCTGGGTTTGAGCCCAGTGGTACCCTTTTGCTTATTTTTTCCTTCAATTTTCACTCTCTTTTTATCATTTTCATTGAATTCTTTTTGCAATCAAATTTAGTTTTTTTGAGCTAATTTTTTGCACACTCCTCATTTATCACCTCTATTTTATGAATATTAAAAAATATCACAATATTTTTTTTTATTTCATCATTTTTTAATTAAATCAATGTGGTTACTTTTTAGGGTTTTTAAAGGGGACTTTTGATGATCTTTTGATCAATTTCTCAACTTTGCTCACAAAGCTTGATCTTACCATGACAGATATTAATTCCCACTAGACATATTGGCTCTTTAGTAAGCATTTCATGATATCTTGAGTTTACTTTAGGTTTTTCTCATCTAAAACAAACCATGAAGCATGTTTAAAATAAAAGGATATGCTCCATGACTTTCATTGTGATTGTGATGCATACATTTCTTTCAAACATTCAATTTATCCATGTTTTTCACAAGCTTGTCTTACTTTTGAATATATTTCCTTCATAAACTCTTTTAAAGCATAAACCATAAAATATCAAAAACATGTTTTCAACTTTCATTCTTTTGTCATAACTTTTACCAAATAAAATCCATGGATTCTCATCCACTTCTATGATCATTGCTTGTGTGAATAACATGTTCCCCTAAGCTTACTTGGTTCATTTTAAATCATTGAGTAAACTTGAACCAAGATAGACATTAGGATTTGAATCCAAGCATGACAACAGTAGGATAGATTCCTCCACAATCTCAACTATATGATCAATCTTTGCATGACAACATTAAGATCAAGTCTCCCATTAGACTTTTCTTTTCCTTTTACATTGCATCATTAAGAATAAAATATTTACTCATTCAAAATCCAAAAACACTTAAAAATATTCAAAACCATTTCAAAACTAAAGGTATGAAGGTGATGGGTGTCTCCTTGGATAAGGGTTCACTTAAAACCTTTCTCCTAACAAAAACACAAACCAAATCCAAATAATTTTTTCCTTAAGTCTTTTTCACTTTAAAACATTTTCAAAAAGAATATGTGAATTCCTTTCTTCACAAAACAACGATGCGTAGTCTCCAACGGTCGAGTGGCAAAGTTAACTGTAGAATTCAAATTTAATATCATCCATCAAACAACACACAACAAACAAAACATTTTTAATAAGAACTACGATGTTCTGATTCCCTTGTGGATATGTAGGCATGGAGTTTCAATGCTCAGGCGAACACACTAATAAATACCTTTTCTTTTCCCCATTGAATTTATGCATGCATTTCCCTTTAGTAAGTAAGTTTTATATCTACTCACACCCATTGATTAAGATAACAAGAGTGGATCTCATGGAGTACCACAGGCGTTAGGGGTGCTAATACCTTCCCCTTGTGTAATCGACTTCCTTAGCCAAGATTTGGTTGCGAGACCATGTCGTTTTCCTGATATCTAAGGTTTTCTATATATTTTCCTTTCCCTATATTTTTTAGGACAAATAAAGTTAGATGGCGACTCTGTTTGTTCCATCCGAAGTTATTTTTCGAGTATCTTAAATTAACTTACCAATCAAGCTACGAAATTGAGTTGGATCAGCCAATGGTTCATCATTGTCATTGTCTAATTTTTTATTGGGATCCATTGGTGTGGAGACAGGTTTGGTTGCAAGAAGGCTAAATGTTGCAGCTAATCCAAGCTATACTTTCTTTGACATAAAACAATCATTATTAATGATGTGGAGATATCAAAGCCCAAGAAATACTTGAGGTGTCCCAAGTCTTTGATGTTGAATTTAGCATGTAAAATGGCTTTTATGTGATTAATTTATGAGATATTGTTTCCTGCAAGAATTAAGTTGTCCGCATATACTAAAACAACAGTGAAATAATAAGTAAATAATAAGTAATCTACTATAGATTAAGTGTAACCCAAATCAGAAATGTACAAGATAACTTTTGATTCCATTATCTGCTAGCTTGTTTAAGCCCATATATTGACTTTTTAAGCTTATAGACCATGCTTTTGTTAGTAAAAACCAGTTCAAGAGGATATTTCATGTAGACTTCTTCTTCTTCTAAGTCTCCATGAAGAAAAGCTATATTTACATCTAATTAATGTAAAAACCAATTTTTGGAGGAGGCTATAGATAGAAGAACTCTAATGGTAGTCATTTTTATGACAGGGCTGAAAGTTTCTTAGTAATCGATGCATTATGGTTGATTAAAGCCCTTAGCCACTAGTCGAGTCTTGTATCTCTCGATGTTTCCATTTGGGGAAAAAATATTTGAAAAGCCATTTAAATCCAATGGCCTTTTTGTTGGGAGGTAAAGTGGTAATATCCCAAGTATCTATTTTAAGGAGAGATTCAAGTTCATTGTGAATGGCTTGTGACCAATTGGGGTCTGTAATAGCAATAGAATATGTTTCAGGTTCGGAAATGGTGCATATTTTTAAATTAAAATATTTATGAGAAGGGGAAAAATGATTTTAATTAAAGCAATCAGAAATGGGGTACATAACAGTACCTATAAAATCAAAATGAGAGGGTAAAGGGTTACCTAGAATGAGGGTACAATAAAAGTCTTTAAGGTATGTTGGGAGATGGGAAATTCTAGTGGTTGTTCTTAGGGATTGGTCAATGGTGGGAAGGGTTAATGAGAGAATAGAAATAGGAACAGTTATGGGGGAGTTATTGATACTATCATGGTTTATGTTAGGTGTTATGGGTGTATTGGTAGGAGGATCTGAATCTATATTGATGGGTGTAGAAGAAGGAATGATGTTATAGTTGAGAAAGTCTAGATTGAAATCTAAGTAAGGATGATAAAGAGGTTGGTTTTGTTGGTATTGTTGGTAGGGTTGGTGATGTAAGGGGAGATGTATTCATGAAAAATAGTGTCCCTTGAAATTAAAAGATCGTGACTGTGAATGTCATAAAGAATGAACCCTTTGGTACCAAACTTGTTACCCAAGTAAATGCATTTTCTTGATCTAGGATCAAGTTTGGACCTATTTTGTTTGGATGTGAAAGCATTAAAAAGGCATCCAAAAGTCCTAAGGTTATCATCGTTGGGTTGGGATTTGTGAAGGATAAAATAAGGGCATTAGTTGTTTATATGTTTAGTAGGGATCCGGTTTATGATGGGAACAACATGGGTGAGGGCATGAGCCCAAAAAATGAAGGAAGTTTAGATTGGAAGAGGAGAGCTCGGGTAACACCTAAAAGGGGTTGGTGTTTCCTTTCCACCAATCCATGTTGTTTAGGGGTATCAATGCAACTAGTTTGATGAATGATGCCATGAGTAAGATAAAAAAAATTAGGAGAAACTCATGCCCATTATTAGACCGGATACATTTGATATTAGTTAGAATTTTTTTTTAACATAATGCACAAAAGATTGAACTAATAAGGAGGTTTCATATTTCAGTCTCATAAGAAAGATCCAACAAAATCTATTATGGTCATCTATAATAGTAAAAAAACACTTATAACCTAGCATGGAAGGAGTAGATGTAGGTCCCCATATAACACATGAATTAAGTCAAAGCATTGTAAGGATTTAGTATGACTATCTAGAAAAGGAAGTATTTTATGTTTAGCATACATACAAATATCACAAGGAGTCAAAAGTGCAGAGAAGTTATGTAAAGGAAATTTATATTAATGTGAACAATAGTATTATTGGAAGGATGGCCTAGCCTATTGTGCCACAAATTACAATTATTAAATATAGAATTGTAACAAACAACACAAGAAACACTGTGAGGGGTCATGGGGATAGGGTTGGTGGGATTGGTGAGCAATTATAGGCCATGATCAAGTTTAGATGCACCAATCGTCATCGGGGTATGGCTCCCATGTATGATACAACCCAGAGAGTTGAAGATTAAATGGCAGTCAAGGGACATGGTGAGTTTAGGAACTGAAATTAAATTGGAGCTGGAATCAGGTATATATAGAACATAATGTAAGTGAAAGTCATTATTGAAAATAATGGAACCAGAAAAACATGTCTTAATCATGGATCCATTGGGGAGAAAGATATTGATAGGGTTAATTTCTTTTAAATGGGTGAAGAGGTTTCTGGAGTGGAACACATTATATGGGGCTCCAAAATCCAAAATCCAAACCAGAGGATGATAATTATGTAAAGTATGGATAGAGGAATATGTACCTGATGGAAGATGCATGTTGGAATTGAGACACAAAAGTTTGTTAAATAAGAGCAAGAAGGGCCTTGTGTTGGTCAGAAGTAACACTGGAGGATTCAAGCTAGGGATTTCCTTCATCAGAAGAGGTTTGTAGTTCATCTGCAGCTTCAACATTAACATTGGCAACAATAGTTTTTTTGAGATATGGAGGGAAGTCGTGTTTCTTAAAGCAAACCTCAATAATATGCTCATATTTGTTGTAGAAGAAGTAAATTTTCAAGCCTCTACCTCTACCGGTGTTGAGAGAATGATCGTTGTTGTCAGATAAACAACCTCAGAAAGAAGTCTTATTGAAGTTAGGAACCAACTTGTCTTCAAGTAAAGGAGCCAAGTGTTGTCGTTCTTGCTAAATGAGAAGCGAAAAACCTTATTGATAGGGGGAAGGGACTGCATCAAAATAATTTGGGAATGAACTGGAGAATACTGATCGTTTAAGCCTTGAGTAAACGAATCACGTGGTCATTCTCTAGGTAGTTCTTGATGGTGGTAACAAGATTGCAAGTACAAGGGATATTGCAAGAACAAGAAGGAATAGTTCTAAAATTATTGAATTCTTGCCATAACTTTTTGAGAGTGGTAAAATAATGTGTGATAGATTGTTCACCTTGCTTTAGAGCATATATTTATTCTTGAAGGTCTGAGATACGGAAAACATCCCCTTGATGATACTGATCATGGAGTTCAAGCCAGATGTTACTAGAAGTCTCGATCCAGAGAAGGCTTTCATAGATTTCATTCTCAATTGACATGATAACCCACGCCATGACCATTGTGTTAGAATGGTCCTAATCCATAGAAGCACGATCGGAAGAAATAGGTAAATCTAGGGTTCCATCGATAAAACCAAATTTTTTCTTAGATCGAAGCGCTACCTTCAAGGATCTAGACCAAGAATGAAAACTGAAGTTGTTCAATGATGTATCACTAGGATGCATAAAAAATGGATCAAGCATGTCGAGTTGGTAATTTTTGGGGTTAACTGTGTTAGAGGAATATTTGTTGGTGTTTATTTTCGGGTAAGAATGGTTGTTGGTGGTTTCATCATTGACGGAAACTTTGGGACCCGCCATAAGAGATCAAGAAAGGTTGAAAAAAGAATAACAAGGGAAAAGAAACAGTGGAGAAAAACTCAAAATTATGAAGAGATAGAAAGAAAAGTTGATAGTGATAAAGGAAAATATTGATATGGGTGATGTCCAGAACAGTCCAAATAGAAGATAACACGTGGATAAAAAGAAGAAAAAGATATCAGAGTTTTATTACTCTTCTGATACCATGTTAAATAATTCACATGTATCATATGCATTTCATAATGCATAACAAAAAAGAAAAAAAATCAAGAGACAACATAAATTATTTTATTATGAAAACTTGAAAATTATCAGTATAGTACAAACCATACCAGTTATTTATAGGAACCTAAATGGAGAAAGCTAAACAAGTAACAGTTACAAAAAAGGTAAGAAAAGAAGGCTATAAAAAAGGAAAATAAAAAGCCTAATAAATTGTAACATGCACCACTATCATGTCATGTAATGTGGTGCATGCAATATAGGTTTAAGTGCATGCGTCATCCTGTGTTACTACTTAGTTGCTTTAGTTTTTTATTTTGTTTTTTAATTTGTTTTAACAAAAAATAATAAATAATGAATTTAAATAAAATATATTATAATAATATTACTAGAAAAAAAAGAAATCACACAATGATTGAATATATTTTTACTGATTCTTGTCACCCAAACGCCCATCGGTAAAACAATAATACCTTCATAATTGCCTTTGAGGTCTCCCTTGATTTACCTGAGGTGTTTGGGGTCTGTTCAGATTCGCTTGAGGTAGAGGTGCTTATCCAGGAACAATAGTTGAATATATCCAGGAACAATAGTCGGATCATACAACTCCTCTACAATTTCTCCCTAGTTTATGGTGCTTCCAAAGAGATTGGTGCCCATGTTGTCAAAGTTGGGTCATGTTGGTTGGGTTATATGTGGGAGGGGTGGTTGGTAGAATTAGGATAATGAATTGTTTTGGAAATGAAGCAAATTTTCGACCAACCCCATGTTAAAGGGCTTAATTTCATGATGAATGATGACCCTGCAGACCAAGAGCACGAGTCATTACCTATGAGTCATGTGTATGTTCTTCCAGTTCACATGACAAACTTGAACTTCGAAGAAGACAAACTAGCCTCATATATCTTTCACAATCAGTATATGCCGACTGCAGGGGCGTTAAAAGTTGGAGACAAATTTCGAACAAAAGAAGAATGTGTGAGAGCTATATAAGAGTTTCACATGGAAATTTTAGCTTATTTCTTTGTAGATCGCACTAATTCAGGGAGGTATATCATTCTATGTTGCCAATAACCAAATTTCCCATTTCGGATAACCATCTTACAGGAATAGAAAAAATTCTTGGGAAATATGTTCTATTGATCCACCACCATTCCGATGCATGATCATTAGAAACTTAGCTCTCAATTAATATGCCAGGAAATATTGCCTCTCATTAGCAAGCATCCATCATTGAACGTGAGTACAATTATTTCTCATATCATTACACGATTCAATTATAATCCACTTACATGAAGGCATGGATCGTGAGGACTAAAGTCGTTAAACTAGTATGTGATGATTGGGAGGATTCGTACAAAGAACTTCCAATATTTTTTGTGGCAAGTATTATGCTCTGATAAATGTTATAATTTTGGAGACACTCTCGACATTTACCCTAGACAGAACTTGTGTGAGAAGAAAAATAATATATCATCGACTGTTCTGGGCGTATGAACCATTCATCAAAGGTTTTGTATTCTACAAATCCATTATACAAATTGATGGAACATGGTTGTACGAAAATTATAAAGGAAAATTAGTCATGGTAGTGGCACAAGATAAAGAGTAATATTTTTTCAATTGCCTTCACTCTGATTAAAGGTGAGACGACTGGTGGATGAAGTTTATTTCTCAAGCATATTCGATTAAATGCTTCTCCTCAACCCAACCTCTATTTGATTTAAGACAGACATCCATCTATTGATAGTGCTTACAATAACCTTAATAACGGTTGGCAAGATCTCCCTTCTATGTGTTTCTATTTCATCAAACATATCGCATAAATATTCATGCGGGAGGTCAAAGACAAGATGCTTTGATAAAAAGTTGTTAATACGGTGTATGCATTAACAGAACCATTGTTTCAGAACTACCACAAAGAGATCGGGTTAAAAAATGTGGATGCATTACGGTGGTTTGAGAATATTCCTATGGAGAAGTGGACTCGAGCATTTGACAATTGTAAAGGATGGGGCCACGTGACATTAAATCTAGTGGAATCAATGAACTTTGTCTTCAAAAGCATCTGAAACCTGCCGATAAATGCATTGGTTGTTAGACAATGAAAAATTATCTAAATGGGGGGTCAATAGATCCCCAATTAAAAAAAAAGTTGAAAAACTGTTTTCAAAAACAAGTAAAATCTATGGCTAGTAGAAGTCGTCTCCTAGATCACAAGTCGTCCAAAACGAACCAGTTAATGGAACTCGGATATGCGTTTAATATATTCTTAATCGAATAATGATGATAAGAAAATAATACAACAAATTCTTAATTAATGGTTGGATAATAACAATCAAGCAAACCAATTTCCAATGAAATTAATGGTAAAGCTAATTGAAACAATTTATCGAACATTGGGTGTGCACTTTAACTTTTTAGATTTCATATGAACTTTGTTGGTATTGAAAACTTCTTACAATCGAATGGATTAAAAGATTATCAACAAATCAATTTTCCAATCAAACGATATGTCTATACTAATTAATTTTCACAATATAAACGTTTATTAAATTTCTAATGAAATTTTTAAATTAGATAGAGATAGAGATAGATAGATAGAGAGAGAGAGAGAGAGAGAGAGAGAGTGTGTGTGTGTGTGTGTGTGTGTGAGAGAGAGAGAGAAAGAGAGAGAGAGAGAGAGAGAGAGAGAGAGAGAGAGAGAGAGAGAGAGAGAGAGAGAGAGAGAGAGAGAGAGAGAGAGAGAGAGAGAGAGAGAGAGAGAGAGAGAACAACACTAGGATTTGTTTAGGAAGTTCACCAAACATCCTCGCTATGGCTACGTCTCCCCCCAATTCCGTTTTGGAATTGAGATGAATTTCTTACTTTTGCAAAAGATTTCTTTACAAGAGAAATGTTGTGATCCCATCCTACAAACCCTATGTTTGATAATGATCCAATAAAATTCTCTTCCCTTGATTGGAGTTAGATAAATTCACACAAAAAACCAATTTGATCCACTATCTCGCACTACTAATTTGGAAGAATCTTCATTCTTCAAAGAGTTCACTCAACCGAATCCAAAATTACGAATGTTGTATCCCAAGATTACGAAACGATTCACCGTCTCACGCTACTAGGTTTGCAAGAACCTCCCGTTATTAAAAGTCTTCACTCGGTCTAATTCAATATTTACGTAATCTTGTAAAAACCCTCAAATCCACACTTTGATTTTGAGGTAAAACCTCTCACCGTTTTCCGATGAATCCCCCTTGATTCTCAACTCAACCTTAGGGTACAACCAACCTAAATTGAATGTTATCAACCGAGCCTAGATGGAACCCAAACAATGAATGATTATGTGTACTTTGTTTGTGTGTATGCATGGATGCAAGGTTGAAGATGAAGAGCAATCAAGTATATGTTTATAGTTTCATCAAGTTAAAAATGATGCATATATGAAGTATTTACAGGTGTGCAAATTTATGGCAAAAGGGAGACCTAGAACTTTAAAAAGAAAAACAATTTTTTGGGTTTGATACAGTATGTGTCGACAAATATAAGTCATGTGTCGTCACATGTAATGACACATGTCAACCTATAAGATGTTAATGATTCGACACAAGATGTTAGAGACTATAGGCTTTAAAACAACAACACATGTCCCAACATGAAACACGTATGAGACGAGACATAGAAGGTTTTGTGTAGCATGTGTCGACCTCAGATGACGAATAAGCCGACACAAGATTTGATAAGCTATAGGATTAACTATTGACTCACATGTGTCGACTCATACAACAGATGTGTCGACACATGCAATTGATTTTTGTGCAAAACATGATTTTTAATGCATGATCCCTATTGATAACCTTTTGAAACTTTTTGTAGATGTTTTCTAAGACCCCTAATGCAAGGGTGCATATAATGACTTAGAGATAGTGTTCAATGTACAAAAAATACTAAATAAATCCTAGTTTTGACATTATGCAAAACATATAAAGGTAAATGAATTCACATACTCCCCTTTTTTGATAATGGAAAAACTCAAAATTTTCGATGATGCTTTTCATGTCTTCATGAAGGCTCCCCGTGAATATGTGCATCCATAATGCCTTTAGGCTTCTCCAGCTTTAACAACATCAAAAAGAGACAAAGCACGCCATGATAGGTATCATTATATGCACAAATACTAATATATCACACAGAGGTGTTTGCAATGTAAAGTTGTATGCATACATGCACCCATATACATGAAGTTACGCAAGATTTAAACATAAATACATGGCAAAAAATCTTTCACAATAATATAAACAAAAATGCACAAAGTATGAGGAATGTAATGCAAGTGAAACCTTCTAAAGTTGATTAAAAAACGTTATGAGAATGCAAAATGTCACAACGGTGCTCTTGATGTTCCACACGCATGTGCCTAACTTGGAGAAAAAATAAATCGCCATTAAAACCAAAGACAAATGCTATCATAACATGTGATAGGACATGATCAAGAAAAGAAATTTCAAAGTGACAATCTCACATTTAATTCATGTGCCAAAGAATAGATAACCAACTTACATGAAATGCAAGCAATAAAAACCACAATATGGATGAACATTAAGAACATACTTAAAAGGAAAGAGCATTAATGTCATGAAGTCACTATAAGCATATAAATTGAGAACACACAATGGTTGTCAATTGGAAATTTTTGGAAGTGAACATTCATGAAGAACATATCACACATAGAACATAACAAACATACATTGCGAGAGAAAAGGCTTACTTTCAAGGAGAAAAGGAACAACATTACCTCATCGAAGAACAGAACAGAGAATGCACTCGCATAGTATGAAAGTCTCAAAGAAAAGTTTGATCAAGTGTATTAAGATTGCATGCAACAAATGTATTTTAGGAAACATTAGAGATATCAAGAATCCTCAATTCCCTTCGAATGTTGAAAAATGGTTCTGTTGCAAGAGGTTTTGTAACGATATCCGCAAGATGATTTTTACTATCAACATGCTCAAATACAACGTCTCCTTTTTCCATATGGTCACGTATGAAGTAGTGATGTATCTCAATATGGTTAGTGCGAGAATGTAAGACCAGATTTTTAGTAAGATTAATTGCACTAGTGTTGTCGTATATGATAAGAATAAGAGAAGGTTTAATATGAAAATCGAGTAGTTGTTGTTTGATCCAAAGTATTTATGCACAACAACTACCGATTGCAACATATTCCACATCGATAGTTGACAAAGTGACTAAAACCTTCTTCTTGATATACCAATTAACCAACGCATTTGAAAACATATGACAAGTTCCACTAGTACTTTTCCTGTCTAACTTGCAACCGAAAAAATTAAAATCAGAATAACCTACCAAAATACAATCGCTTCCTTTGGAATACCAAAGCCATGTAAGAATACAATGTGTTTCTACATATGGCCTTAAGACTTTGATGATAACTTTACATACAATCATAAAGAATAATTGTATACTCTAATGGTTTTGTTCTAGTGTGTAGTTGTTGTTGTAATGTTATAACTCTGGTATCAAGGTGTGTGACGTCATAAGGTTCTGAACATAAACACTAATGGAAGAAAACATTTGGTTACTG